TTCTTTGCTGCACATTTCAGTGAACTTAATGTATTTGGCAACAAATGGAAATAGCAATGTGCTATTTGTGTCCTGTTTCTCATGTTTTCTAGATATGTAAACATGTTAATTTCAGTAGGTTGCAGTATGATGTCATAAGATTAAGCATTTGTAATTTAAATGGTATGTCTTCTGCGTGACATTTAGGTCCAGGTCTGGCATTTTTAGCCTATCCTCAGGCTGTCACCCAGCTGCCCATGTCCTCTCTGTGGGCCATCCTCTTCTTCTCCATGCTCATGATGCTGGGCCTGGACAGTCAGGTACAAACAGCACACGTTTTTTTCCTGCTGCTGAACAGATGGTTTTATTTATTCGATTTTTTTGGTTTACTCTGGCATTAATATTGCATTTATTTATACCCTCAATTTAAACTAATATTCTTATTTATACCACTATAGCATTTTTATTTACACCATTGTTATATATATTTAGTATACATAGTTTACATATTTACACTTTTCCATATCTATTGTTGATATATATTATGGTAAAATACTTATTCTTAATCTATTTTCATTATAATTTCTCAATGCTTCTGGACATTTCCATTCTAGAATGTGAGCAACTGCAACATAACCCAGTTTCCACTAGAGGATCAATAAAGTATATCTGATGTGATATGATTCTAATGTAGGCGCATAGTTTTGACAAAGAACATTGATCAATTTAATAAAAAGGATGATATCTCTGGACTATGCTAAATCACTGGGGTGTTCTTTTAAAAACAAACTGCAGTATAATCTTGCCCGTGTCTCTTTATAATATGGATGTATTAGTTCTGCACAGTGGAAGGCTTCATCACAGCTCTGATGGATGAATATCCCCTGGTGCTGAGGAAGAGGAAGAAGATCTTCATCCTCATTATCTGCTTTATCTCCTTCATCATCGGCATCTCCAACATCACACAGGTGTAGTTGTGTCCATCTCTGTGTGTCACATGCCCTTCCTCCATGTTGATTCTTGATATAAAAGAGCACTGATGTTAACCTGTGAACATAATGTGTGAATGTATGACTATGTTTTACAAGGTGGTTGTTTTAAAACCCAACACATAAACACACCCGAACATTTGCAATTTTTTTTCCAACACTGGGGAAAAGAGCCCCTTCCTGCATTATACATAATGACAAAACGATGTCACAACAACCTGCGGTGTACATTAATCATGCATATTTTATTCAATAAAGAGAGGGTTATTAATATTCAGCTTCTAAAGCAGGTATTTGTGTCTGTGTGTGTGTGTTGAAATCTTGCAGGGTGGTCTGTACGTGTTCAAGCTGTTTGATTACTACTCCGCCAGTGGGATGTGTCTTCTCTACCTCGTCTTCTTCGAAACTGTGTCCATATCCTGGTTTTATGGTAGGAAATCTATTTTATGCAGTCTACGCGTAAACCAAACATCGTGAGGTGAAATCAAATGTAACCACAGCTGAAAAAAAGCTGAGCTGGATAGAGCGGACTATATTGTTCCAAGTCACCTATTTAATCAAGCGTGTCGATTTCCTCTATACTGTAGCTGTCCAACAGGAAATTACATCTATCTGCTCCACTTTCTGTGATAAGACTCTCCGTCCAATCAGCTTTGCTTTCTCCTCGTACTTATTATCTCCAAATTAAGACACACGTCTTCTTTTTATTCCTCTCTTTATGCTACAGGAGCTGACAGGTTTTATAACAACATTGAGGACATGATCGGCTATAGGCCATGTGGCTGGTGGAAGCTTTGCTGGAAGTACTTCACTCCGCTGATCTGCCTGGTATGCTGTGAATGATGATCAATTTAGCGTCCATAATGTGCGTTTTTCTAAGCCAAACTCTAGCATGTGCTTCCTTCTCCCTCACGGAGATCTATAAAGCTGCAGCAGGTGCCAATAGGTAGAGAATTGATGACATTGCTGAATTGGTTTCCTCTGCCGTGTTGGGATTTGTCCTTCAATTTATGAACTTTTAGGCCTTCAGGGAAATCTTGGCAATGCCTTTATTGTCACTACTCTAGTGACAAAGGAAGTGTAATATTGAAGGACCCTATAGATATGGAAAATCAAGAGTTTTCTGACACAATTATGAAGTATAACTATGACGTATAGGCTATAACTGGGCTAAATTTGACTGAAACGTGAACATTTTAACCAGTTGGTCCACCATTTTGGTCTTCACTGAAATATCTCTGTTGTTGGCTGTTAGCATGCTAACACTCTAAGCTGAGATAGTGGGTGAACACGGTAAACATTATATCTGCTCAACATCAGCATGGTTATTGTGAGCATGTTTGTATGCTGACGTTAGCATTTAAGTTAAAGCACCACTGTATCTAAGTACATTCTCACCGTTAGCCGATCGCTGCCACTAGCATGGCTCCAGATTCTTGCCTAGACATCAAGGTTATAAATAACAGTTGTTTCGTTTGTGACTATATTTGAGTGTGTTGGGTCCATAACAAATTATAATAATGATAAAGCATTTTCAAACAATGTTACACAACCTAAACATCTAAAAACAACTTTTTTAGTGAATTTGGCCCAGTTTCACTGAGATGCCTTTCCTCCAACATATAAATCACCAAATCAGTGCTTGCTGTTCTCATTTTGTGTCTTGTTAACTGGCGAAAGATTACTGTTACATTGACTAAATACAATAATTGTGTATTGTAGGGGGTGTTTGCCTTCAGTGCCATTGAGATGACCCCTCTGACCCTGGGGAAGTATGTGTACCCGATGTGGGGCCAAGTGATTGGTTGGTTTATGGCTTTGTCTTCCATGATACTGATCCCAGGTTATGTCATCTACCTGTTCTGCGTCACCAAGGGCAGCATCAAACAGGTACAAACCTCTTGCAGGTTTCACAGTTTAAGAGTTTTGTGCCAAGGACACTGCTGTGTGGAATTGCTGAAAACTGAAAGTAAACTAAATAAACAGTAGAGGCGGTAGTTGAGAGACACGGTGCATGAAGACAGGAGGTACTCAGACTGCAGTCATTCAGGAGCGTACAGAAGAGGTTTGGCTTGAGGCCAATGCCATTATCCTGTTTTTAGGTAGGAAGGTATCTTTTGAAAGTGAACACAGATTGCTACAGTTAATATTTTGTCAGCGTTTTCCTTGAATAAAAATCATGTCAATTTCGGCTGTCAAGAATATTTCGTTCACTTTTTACACAATTAATTTGTACTTTTTAGTCCACCTAATGTTTCACGTCTGGACTCATCTTTAAGAAAAATTGTTAAGCATTCAATTCTAATGTGTCTTTATCAGCGTTGGCGGAAGATGACAACTTCCCGTGAGGATGTGAAGCCATCGAAGCATGAAGATTTTGGCCACACAGGGAGCACGGTCGAAGCTCCTGTCTAGCCAGGATTGTTCAGGTTGAAATAATTCCCGTCTGCCAGGACCTACTGTAGTCAACACTGAAATTTGACAAATGGACAGATGGAGTCTTGTACAGCATTTTACTATGATGTTTTCCTCGATTTCAAAGTGTGCTAGAAAAATCTGGCAAATGATGCAAGAAGATGAGGCTTTTCAATTTTGATAAATGTAGACGATGGATTTCTTTTTGCGGTAAAAGAGTGAACTGTGACTACAAATTGAATGTTATAGATCAGCATCGAACCTGTGCACATATACCACATATATACCATTAATGTATAAATCTTCATTCTACTACATTTTCTCTACTGTTCAACAAAATCACTGTCTTTGTCTGTTAAGTTACCACATATGTCTTGAATGTTGTTGTACAGAAGCATTTAAAAAAAATCTGGTAAAACTTGATTCGAGGTGTAAAACTGTAATAATGCATCAAAGATGATTTGCTTGTTGTAGCTTAAAGAACGAACCAGCCAGCCACTGTGATAATTTGTCCAGCAATAAATATGTGGGCCATCCAGTTATATTTGTTGTCTTTGCTGATTGGCGAACTACAAAAATCACGACAAAAGGAAAACATTTGTATAGAATGTTAACATGATGGAAGTTGTAGGCTATTTACCGTAGAGTTTCCCAATTAACACAACTTTAAAATAAGTTTTAAATTAAGTTGTATAATCTCAAGTATTAGCCTTCATGGCAGCTTGTTTCATTAGAATATTATGTTATCCTTTTGTTTTTTCAAAGAGTTGTTTTATACCATAAAATGCTTGGTTTTGTTAGTTTTGGGAATATGTGAAATTAGCTGTATGAAGGATTTGCCCTAAACTGTACTTGGTAACTCTAGAGATGTGATGTAATGCTTTAAACCAGCACTGGTAAAAGGTTGTCCTGTTGAGATAAACCCTATAGCTTGTCTGACTTCACTGCAGAGCCACGTGTGTTCAGAGCAGCACTCTTAATGATGGTGAAATTATTAATACAATAATTTACAACCATGGTAAAAAGCTACAGGAGTAAAGCCCATGTTGAGAAAAGAATAACCTTTTTAACCTGCACTGACTTTTTGGCCACTTGGGGGCAGCAGAAACACACTGTTCACAGAACACTGGCATAACAGTGTATATTATTTAAAAGTTACCTATTAATACAGTTTCTTTTAATTAATTCATTTTTAAAAACTTTTTACCCCCTAGGAAACAGCTTCCTGTTGCTGTTGGAAATGCCACTGATGAGATCAGATATTTCCCAAAACATTAAAGTTGCGTGCCGGAAACCAAAACAATCAGCCGAAAGACAATAAAACCTTTTATAGTACAGAGTTAGGTGATAATAATGTCACGTGATCCTTTGTTAATGAAAAGATATTGATTATAGTCGATTTAACCATTTAGATGCTATGCATATGATTGTACGTTTTTAGTTTAATATAAATTAATTGGTTCAAACCTGTCTTATAAATGATACATTTTAATTCCACTTTCTGAAGTAAAATGAAAGTGTTAGCTGATATGAGTATGGGTTCATGGAGCAATGCACGATAAAAAAAAATTTCACAGTAGGTCTAAAAAAATATCCAAGAACCAAAGCAAACCCTTGTTGTGAATAGACTTAAATCATCTTTAATAGCATGTTGATATACTGAAAGGACAGGTAGAGAGGGGTTCAAAGCCAACTGAGGGAGGTGATGGTTCATATCTGTTAGACTCAGTTTCCACCTGTCTTCATCATAGTTTTCACCATAAATATGTCCACTTTTTGTAATTCTTTTTTTTTTTTAACTAGTATGAGCAAACACAGTGTTGAAGAGCCAGACAAGATCCACGTATCATTCATGAAGCGGTGCACTGGTATGGCAGAGCCCTTTTGTCAGTTTCTCAGTTAAGAAAGTTAGCCACTACTGCGCTTCCACGTCATATGCTAGACTCCCAAAATGCTACATTGGTTTCCTTTCAAACATAAACTTATGATTTTCAGTGTGCCTCGTATTCATGTTTATTGCACACACAGGACGTCTATCTCCCAAAATGCTTACACACATTGTCAAGTAGGGAAAATTGTGCAACCATAAAGAAAGGGTTGTGAAAGACATAAGAACAAAAATAGCCACTGTTTGGCAAAATAGAAGCCTCAAATTTGCCATTATGAATCCATTATCTGTTCGAAGGGGTGTTTGCTTTAATTTCTTTTTTTTTTCAACCTCAAACGAAACATCTGTCTTCTCCTGCGAGCGTGCTCACATCAAAGTCAGTCATGCACAAAAAAATGCTAAACCTTTGGGAATCGGAGTTCAATAGGCCTCCAAAACTGATGGCATGCATGAGAGAAGAATCACATTATATGTGAATGTTGATCTAAACAAATGCATCAGGAATCATATACAATAATCATCCATCAGTGTAAAATCCATAATATCAGAACTTTTGATGTTATTTACTGAAATGTATTGCATAACCTTCAGTGTTTTTTATAGCCACTAACATTATAAAAATTGTCATAAAAGCCCGTCGTTAATTTTGAAAGCGCTATTTCTTTTTGTTGTGGTGAACGATAATAACAAAAGAATTACCAAAATGAACGGGAGAGAGGTCAGATTTGTTTTTTGGGAAAGTTACACACACACACACACACACACACACACACACACACACACACACACATAACCTTGTACTTGTCCTTGTGGGGACCTGTTACTGACATATTGCATTCCCTAGCTCCTTACCCTAACCTTAACCATCACACCTACATGCCTAACCCCCGACCCTTACCCCAACCTTAACTTAAACTTAATTATTACCTGAACGTTAAAACCGAGTCTCAACCCTCAAACGGGCCTTTGAAGGTCTAAAACTGTTATTGGTCCTCACAAAGATAGCTGTACAAGTGCTCACATACACACACGCACACACACGCTCACCATCTCCGCCAGACTGTTTCTTTTCTGCAACCTCTGTCTTTCCACTGGGTGAGTGGAAAATGACAGAAAGATAAGCTGGAGACCTCCCTGCGTTGCCTCTGTGATTATAAATCAACAAATCAGAAAGGTGGGGTCAGATGAGAGCAGAGTTAAATGAACATCCATTCCACAGTATCTGGTGGGGCCTTATGTTTAAAAGATGGACGAATTCAAGCTGATGCAGTCGCTGACCTATTTCAGAATGAAGGACGCGTGACAGGGCAATAGCACTTTGAAGGGGCTAAAGGTAGCTTGCTTGTCCTTTCCGACACTACTTGAACGTGGTATTTACAATCTAGGCTGGGGTGAAAGAAAAAGAGATCAGATAATGCATTCTTTTTGTCCCGTTCGTATTTAAAGCAGACAAGCCAACAGCACAAACAATATCATTAATGCCAGCATTTGCAATCCAAGCTGTGTGTGTGTGTGTGCCTCTGTGGTTTTTGCCTTTTTAAAAATGTCAGACTGAAAGGTTAGGAGGGAAGAGGAAAAAGTCACAAGGAGCTGAAACAAAACCTGGGAGTTGTACCGACATAAAGAGACAGTGTCTGGGTGCTTTGTGGGTGGACCCAGTCTTGCATTTATCCACCGACAGAAAACACACAAAGGTGGAATTATGCTTTACGCAAATCAGAATAAACACAGATGTTGACATTTAACAGTTGTAGCAGAAGCATCTTCATGGAAATTCATGGTGACTTCCTGAAAAAGAAATGCTAAGAAGCGTTTCATAAACCACAGATGACAGCACAGTGTACATATATTACATTTGAATGGTTGTAGTTTGAGAAAAGTCTGAGAGTGGTTTCAGCAGCTTCGACGATTTCAAAAAGACTTTCCCACCGTCAACATGTGGCGAGAACTCGTGGGAAGCGTTGGCGATATTAAATATGAAGAGTAAAAGACAAACAACAATCAACAGGACCATCCTGGGCTGACTTTTTGGTTTGGCAGAAATCTGTGTGATTGGTTGCCTTTATTTCCTGTCATACTTCACTGTAGAATGATCTATGGAGAGTGACAGTTGAGTGTTTTCTGATGATAGAGAGCCACAACACAACAGAGGAGCGGATGTTCAGTTTTGTTATTCATTTTTTTGTGCTCCCTGTGGGAGAGAAGCGTGGAAAGGACTATTTTTTTTCAAAGCAAAGGAATTTCTTTTTCTTTCTTCTAGCCCTAGCGTTAAGTCGAGTGCAAAGGAGTCAGTGTTTAGTGGAGGCTATGTATTTTGGCACACGTTTTCAGTAAGTTTCAACTATGCACACGCGCGCACATACAGCACAGTAGGCATGAGGTTTGGGATGATAAAAGCGAACAGAAGCGGAAGGTCCTTGGAGTGTGTCCAGCCGGCACAGTCCATTTCTGTGGTTGGTGGTGGTCATTACCGGAACTAGAAGGAATCCATCCAGAAACTGAATATCTGTGTTTTCTTTAGCAAGTTAAAACTGACAAAAAGTTATAGAAATTTGTTAAAACTACATAATATTTCAAAATACATGTGGAATCAAGTAAAATTTTATATATGCACTTTATTTCTCCTTTTCTCTTTTAAAACCTTGATTTTTTCTTTTAGTTTATTTTTTCCTTAAATATATGCATATAAGTGAGATTTTTTTTTTCTTCATTATAGCTCTTTCTGTATGTATATATGTACATTATGTACTGTTAAATAGGTAGAGAAGGGGGTGGGGTTTGTGTGGGAGTGTGTGTTTCAGTGTGACAATACTCATGAATTTATTTACACCATGCTCCGAGAGCCACTTGGGGTCCGGTGTAGACTGAGGCGGGGGTCGGGGGGTATATACTGGTGAGGGTGGTTGTAAGGCGGTGGTGGGGGAGGCAGCGGGGGCTGGTGGCCGTCGTTGTCATGAGAGCAGTCCGGCGAGCGGACTGGGGTGGACATGGCCGACTGACTGAGCTGGTGGTGGCTGTGGTGGTGATGCTGGTAGTGGTGGTGTGTGGGCGTTTGGCTGAGGAAGGCCTCCATGCGTCCGTGGCCGCTGTTGTCGAGCATGAAGACCTTGACGATCTGCTGACACTGGATGAGTGTCTCGGGCCTCAGGTCAGTCATGCTGACAGCCGGCTGGTGGTGCTGCTGGAGGTGGAGGTGGTGGACAGGGGTGCTTGCCGCTGACTGCAGCTGCGGGTGCTGAGGTGGAGGCGCCGGCCCATGGGTTAGCCCCTGCTGGAAAAGCAGCTCCCCCTGGTGGTTAAGAAGGGCCACGCTCTCGGGACTCCGAGCCGTGCTGCTGCTGCTGCTGAGCTGGTACGTCTGAAGCCTGTTGTGAATTGACACCTAGTTTAGAAAACAGCCAAGAGAACAGCATCAAATGTTATAAAACTGGTTCCTCCTCTACAATCCGTCAAGCCCTCTTTTTGTTTTTTTTTGGGGGGGGGGGATGGGGGGTTGGTGAACGCACAGCACACACACACACAGGGCATGCGTGGGGGCTTTGTTGTTGGGGGTCGGTGGAAGTGTAAAAATATTGTGACTACTGCAAACTCCCCTCCCTCCACCCCACAGGTACTGGGAACAGTGCAGATTGGATGCTGGGAACACCAGTGTGTGACTGTGGTCAGGTGGAGGAGAGCGGTGGGGAATGGGGATAAGAGATTTGGTGTGACGCTACAGAAGGGGCCCGGTGGTTCCAAAGGGGACACTGAGGGCCCCTGTGTCTCCCTTCCAAACCACTGTTTGGCGCTATGGTGACAGCGGACACAAGGAGACTTGGGGGGGGGGGGGTCGGGGGAAACCAGAACAAAGACGGTGGTCATACGAAGAATAGGAAGAGGTGGAAGGAGAGGAGGTGAGCAGAGACTGACAACCACAGACGTCCACAGGTAACACTCATCAGAATGCAAACCTCCATACGTCACATTTATTTCAACTCTGTATTTTCTGCAGACACTTTCCCTCTGTCAAAGTTTGTTTTTCTGCAGACAGTTTTCTTCCCTCAAAGTTTATTCTCTGCTATCTGTCTTCCTTTATTGTTGGCTACCTTTCCTGAATTCTTCTTATGTCGCCTATTTTAGGAAACAAGTCAGGCTTCCAACACCGTTCTCAGAAAGCATATATGCCAAAACAAAAAATATAAGAAGCATTGTCAAAACTCATGGAATGAGCACAATCTGAAATGCATATCATGGGTAGTGGGGAAAAGTAATGTAAAAATTGTAAGCAACCATAAAACATCAGGGACGCTATTTTAATATTTGTTGCAAGTTGAAAGCTAGGGTTAGCACAGTGTTTGTTAAGTAGAGTCAATATAACTAAATGCATTCCAATTCAATTGAGAATAATCTACGTATTAGGAGAAGATTATGACCAAGAGAAAGCAGGCAAGTTTATCAACTATTTTGACAACAGCCTGTTTTTATTTTTAGCCGAATTTTTCTCCGAATTTTGGGAGAGATCAGGCTACTTGCATTAGTATTCACACAGCAGCTAATTGCCTTAAAAAGCCTACAAGAGCAGTCCCAACTAACAACCCTTATCCTCTTCCCTGTATGGACTTCTGATTAGAAACGTATTTGTGATACTTCAAAAACAAGTCTTTTGAACCAAGTCTCACGTCTTTATAGGATTAGTTAGAGTCTGACGCGAGTCTACAGCTCTGTAAATGTGCTGACTAACTGACTCCATACTAACGTGGTTCTTCATAGTCGCTGTAAATTTCTGACGAAAGATCTTAGTTTTAAATTAACTTTCAACCTTCTGTGAGGACGTCAGTCAGAATAAAGTTTCCCACAAAAACTCTTCAAAATAGCGACAGTGTGAATAAGGTCAACGGCAATTCACCTGCAATATAATGGACTTTCAATGTAAAGTATCTGAACTTGAGAAAGGGCTTACAGCGTTCTCTCCTTCTCTTACAGGAGCTGATGTAACTCTTGTGTGAAAGAACTCCATTAACATTTGCTCCTATTCAATCTGCCAAACCACTATTTCTCCTTGACAGCTTGGCACATATACTTAAGAGTACAGTATCAATGAGCTCTGAAGAACTTTAGATGAAGAATGAAGGATCTCGCTGACCTTCTGTTGACTTTTAAAAGTTTACTTTTTAAGTAAAAAAACTTTTTTTTTCACGACAGAAGACCAAACCTGTCCAAAGTGTGAGATTTATGCACAACATAGCGCCCTCAAAAACGTCCACAGTGGAATGAAAAATATGCACTACGATAGGTACACAGAAATGTGTAACCATAGTGCACTAAACAGCATAGGGAGTAATTGACAAGAAATACATTTTAGCTATAGCTAAAATGTATAAATGGAGTTACATATATGTAACTCCCTGTAAAACCACAACTTATTGTCCTCACATGAGTGCAGATCAAACAAACAAGGTGTAAAGTAAAGCTTAAAAAGGGCAACTATATGCAGCAGTCTGTTTGCCTGTCATGTCTGTGATGATGGCTTTCTTTGTGTTTGGTTTTGCTTTGTATGTAAAAACACATTATCCTTTTAAAAGTGTGCCCTAACACGTCACTGGTATTGCTGACTGACAGTGTATTACCATGACTGTGTCTTCAAGGGTGCAGATTAGCAAAAAAAAAAACAAGGGATGAAAAGGATTTTGAAAAGTGAGGGGGATGTGTGAATTACACCTTGACTGTGTTGAAACTCTTTAGCCACATTCAAACTACAGCACAGACTGCTCTGAGGGAGACAATACAATCTAATTCTTCAGATTTATAGAAGCTTGCTTGTTCACGCCTCTAGTATGCGCAGGATTCTCTCCTGCTATCCAAGATAAATGTGTTTGGACAGCTAACGGCTCCCCACCAGCCACTGACATTTACTGCACGCTGCATGGCAGAGGGGATGGCGGCTGGTGAAGGGAGCTCAGACAACCTTGAAGATTGGCCTGATCATCGCTCCCTATTATGAGGACCCAAAGGCTGCTCAGAGAGAGAGAGAGAGCGAGCGAGAGAGAAAGCACTTGTATGCATAAAAGAGCCATTGCACATTTAAAAAATAAATGTATATATATTTTTTACGTCTTTTAAATATCTCTTGTATCTCTTGTATCTCTTGTCAGCAATGAAAGCACGTTTGCTCTGCTGTAATTATTGTTATTCTACAGGCGTGTATGGCTTTAAAACCGTTTGAGTGCGATGTATATGTCCATTTGCTCTAACCAGCACCTGAGTACAGATTTACAGCCTGCAGTATTAAGAGTGAGCTGTGTGAAATTAAACAGCCACTGAGTGTCAAATAGACCCTGTCTGTTTGTTTTTCCACTCCCGCCCCTCAACTCCACAGCCGGAGAAATGACGAGGGAAAAGGTCATCTGATGCCACTAGGATGGTAATTGCAAAGCCCCATGGGTACTGTAGTTCAGCTTGCTCTATTGCTTGCATGAAATGTTCGCACGAGAAGTTTCCCCCCAGAGATCTGGCAGAGGGGTGGAGAGGTGATGTTTCTAGGTCAAATGAGCATTAAATTTATCCGCCCGCATGTTACTGTGTTTATTAAGGTCTTGGTGCTACACATGGGTACACACACACACGGAGACACACACACACACATGCATTCCACACATGTCCTCGGCTACTTTCAGCAATGATGGCTTCTTTCTTTTTTGCTATTTTAAACGCCAGAAAAGGAGTCAACAATTCTGCCTGAGCTTGTGAAACTAATTACAACCTATTCCTTTTTTAGATATTTAAGCCTCTGAGTCTGATGTGTTTTCTGTTCATGGGTTATGAGTTTATTAATTTTATTAATTTCCCCAAACCCACCATCTTTAATTTTTGTACGGCAAAGTTACCTCACACACTCGCAGCACTTTACCCAGCAGTGCTCGTTCTCTCATCCACTCTTCACCCACTGCTGCTTGACGCCTCTAGCCCGAAAGATATGACTAGTCCTGGGGTTTATTCCTATCTCATCCTACCTTGATACTGACACCCTGTACTGACTTACCTGTTATTTGGGACATGGCCCTATAACTAAGTACTTACCTCTACTGCATTGTGTCCACTTCTTTCATCTATCTCCTGGTTTCCTGGACGGACAAAAAAAGGGAGGGAAAAGAGACAGAAGTGGCAGCAAAATGTCTGTAATTTTATCCTTAACTGCTTATTAAAATGTTTTTTAAGAGCAAGAAATACACTTTAAAATAAGGCACTTCATATCAATCCAACCAACAGACGATAAATACAAGATTTGTTAAACGGTAACACCCCTTTTTAAAATATAAATGTGTTTTTCCAATTCAATAATTCATAAAAATTTAAATTAATGCAATTGAGGACAAGGTTTTAAAATGAAAAAGCGACGGTGCTCACACACTCACACACACCTGATGGGGAGCCCTGTTTGCCGCGCAGCTCTAGCTGTGTGCCGTTGTTCTTTACTGAGTGTGTCTTGGCTCCCTGCTGCTTTTCCAGCTCCCCTGCAAAGAGCAGAAGACAAAAATTATCCATCATTTCCACACCATGACAGAGCGCAAAATAGGTAGATAGACAGGCGGTAGACGTAGATGGTTAAGATTAACAACATTAAATCGGCATAAGTCTACTTTCTTTCAAATGTTGAACACACCCGCTCTCGTTGCCTTCCCCTCCCACTGTCTCCTCTAATCTCAAAACACAACTTGCCATCTTACTAATTACACTTCGCACTTGATGGTAATTACGTGTCATTTCCAATCACGATGACTAAATGTTGTTTTGTCTCCAACACTGCGCTGCATTCTAATTCTGAGCTGCAAAACTGCCAAATGCGACCTTAAAACTGGGGGAGGCAGGTTATTATTGGGCAAAAAATCCATAGTAATCTTTCATGATATTGTAATTCAATGGGCAGTTTTCTGGAAAAGCCCCTAAGCCCCTCCCACAAGACGAGCAGGGACATATGCACATGCTTCATACAGTACAAGTACTTGTCATTCATTTAATTTCAGAAATGGACAGAAAATGTTGCCAGTAAGAGTTTAGCCTTCTGCCAACTGTGGTTGTCACGCAGAAGACTAACCTCTTAAAGATGGAGAGAGAATGACACTCGCCCCAAGCAACTGTCTTAGCCACCGTGAGGCTAGCTCAGACTCTCTTTTTGTCCTTTTTTGGGTTGCTTTCCAGCGTTGGCAGTTGTTGTCAATGCTGGAATAGTGATTTTCCCCCGCAGGATATGCTGCCGTTGAATCAGGCTGTCACGGAAGTGCATGCACATCTGCATTTGTAGTACAGCCAATAGGAATTTCCCTCATTATAAAGATCGCAATGCAGGAAAATATGCACCTCCATAGAAACAGAAGCTGCAAATTCTCCATCCTATCTCAAAGAGGGAAAGCCCAAACATAAGTGTGCCAGCCGCAGGCATGTCTGCTAATGTGCCAACACTACAAACCCCTTGGAGGAGAGAGGATGATGTGGTGTTTTTCTGTGCAAGTGCCAGCAATCATTCTTGTTCTAAATTTTGTCCCCGTCTTTGCAAAAAGTTTTTCTGTGCATGCATTTTCAACAAATATGTCTCAACATGAGTTCTTATTTGTGTGTGTTGTTTTAAATTGCGCACAGCTGTCTACCGTTGCTCCACTCTACTGACATAAATAACTTCCGTCTGTCAACCACTGCCTGTCTCCAATATGTTGTTGCCTGCTCTCCCCGGGCTGCTGGCCCTCCCTCCTCTGCGAAGGGTTGCGTCAAATACCAGCAGGGAGGCTTTCTTTGAGGCCCACTGGCAGGAGCCCGGCTCTGGGTACTCTGGTTCTCCGTGTAGGTCTAAGTATGCGCATGTCTTATTGTCTGGAGAATTTCAAATGCACGCAGACCCAAACAACTCAGATGCCTGGCCTCTTTTTACCTTCAATTTACTGCCCCCCTGCAGTCTGTTTGAGCTGCAGTGCACCAAAGATAAGAAAATGCAAAAGGCTGTCTGCACCTACACAAGTTAACAGATATCACAAAACGAAAAGGATGACTTCTGACTCTTGTGTACTATCTGAGGACGTATTGATTCCCACACATCTTAGACTCCACTGTAGTCTCCCATTTTCCAAGATGTGAGATTATTGATTTGGTTCAAAATGTGACGCTGGCTGCATTGCCAGAGGAGGATTCTCACACACATTTCACTTGATGGACCTTCTATGTCACACATACCCAACTAATTGGCAGCCTCCAGTCTAATGTACGCGTCTCTAATCTTTCATTGTAATATGGAGAAAAAAACCCATAAACACAGACACTTACACTCGATACGTATCTGCTCCATCTCCGACACCTCCGCGATTGATTCCTTCAGGTCTTCTACAAATTTGAGCAGCTCCTCAGCACTTTGGGCACAAAAGTTAAGTACCTGCTTTTTGTCTGAGCCAAAAGGTGAGAGGATGGTGATGCCATGAGGGTAGTCTGGGGAGCGCAGAAGAGTTGTTGAGATAGCAGTAACAAGAGACATTGCAAGAACAGTTTGCAAAGAATCAGCGAGTTTAATACTAGAGGCAAAATACCTTTGAATGTACATTTGTTTACTCATTGTTTTCTCCTTTTTTGGAGATATTGTAGGAAAACACTCAATTGTGCATGCAGCGTGGACTGAAGAGGGTTGGGATGATTACATTTTGAAAAGTAATGATTCGTGAGAAGATTTTGTTATGGGAAAGTCATCACGAATATGAAAAATGAAGCATTAATAAAAATAAGTTAAATATTTAACCTATTTCGAATACAGCCATAACACCTAGACCCCCTTGTTCAATTCCACTTGGAGGTACTTTCCTCTGTTTTGTAACAGTCCAAAGTGTTTTTTCACGGCAGCTGTCTGCAGGGAAAGATATTATGACTTACATTCATTTTCAAACAGGTGAAACTGCATGCCAAGTAGGCCCATTGCTTTGCAGAACGTGTAGGCTGCAGAACTCTTCTTCTTTGGGCAAAGCTTCAAGATCTGCAAAACAACGAGAAACCAGAATAATGGCGACAATTTGAACGACAGAGAGCTCAGTGTTCGGAAATCTTTTTTTAATGGTCCACTGATATGTATAGCAAAGCTCAGAAAGAACACGTTTTTTGATAATTCAAATAGAGTCAATATTAATGAACAATATAAGTTTCAAAGTGTATCAGATTGTGTGCTAGTGCTCTTTGAAAAACAACACCATGGCGAGTTTATGTCAGGATGTATTTAAATGTTACGGAGCTTTTTCATCGAATGACCTTCCAGATAGAGAAAGATGAGGCAAATCTGTTTTACCAGGCGAGCCGTACGTGTTTAACCAATACATCGCATTGACACATTAAAAACTACTTGACATGTTCAAGCTAATGTCTCAACGCTGTAAGGAGAAAACGTCTCCCTGGAATTAATCGCACCGCTAGCTTTTAGTGCCCAATGAACAGAATTCCATTGTGATGCTTGAAGATGACTCCTTTCACCTCTTACTTCAAAAATTGTCCTTCTAATCTCCCTTTCCTGCAGCTACACCAATTACTTTTATGCTTAAGCAGAAAGGGGAGTGGGAAATAACAATGCTTCTTTTCCTTTTGCTGCATTTCGCTGGCCTGATTTCAACATTTGACATAATTATGAGAGTAGTTAAACACTTTGGATGGATAACCCCTATGTGCCTCCTCATGGGCACGTTAATTATGCCCAACATTAAACCTTTTATAATTCTCCAATCTACAAAACTTTGGACTGAATGATTAACTTATCTGTGCTGTGAAAAACAACTTTATTACTGGCCCTTGAAGCTGCTCTGTAGGGGACAGATATTTGCTTATGAGTGCACTGCAAAACTGCATTTACTACCATCTATTATTAAAAGAAAGGGCCGGCGGGGACTGACTGATGAAACATCGAGGAAGAGAGGGAGCTCACAGTGGAGGTAGGAGATGGTGCATTGCAGCTATACGTGTAAAATAAGCAGCTTTAAAGATTGACTGTTTGCAGCAGAAACAACACTTTTTGGGGTGGTTATAAAGATACGTTTATAAGAAAAATATGAATTATTACTCTGAATCTGTCTTTTATCGTATACTAACCACGATGAGATCATTGAAGAGGAAGACTTCTCTCTGGTGTGCCGCCTGTTTTTGGGCCTTGTTGACATCAGTCACTTCAAAAAGTCGACTGCAGCACACCAGTCTTCTATGAGGGACAGAGAGAACCTGCAGAGAAAGACACATCCAGGTAAAAGGAAAGCTTCAATCACTCAGATGAAGTGTCTCTGAAGCTTGAAAGTCATTCAAGAAGTAGAGACTTTCCCGTCAGATAAAACCTTTCCCTCAGGGGAAAGAGAATTAAAGGGAAACCGGGAGACTTTTAAGACAAATGTCTTTTGGCTGGAGTACTACACATTATTCACTGGGGTTAAAAGCTGAGACTGAAGTAAAAAACCCCATTAAACACAGTTTGCTGAGACAAATTGGTGACATAAAGACTGTCCTTAAAAAGAAGAAGTAAAAAAAAAGAGATAAGGATGAGGCAGCACGTTGTTTCAATTGTGTTCCCCTGAGGAGAACATGGGCATACATGCAGGTTTACATGGGCTGGGGTTGCTCTTTGTAGTTTTACTTGCACTGAAGTGTCTCACCTTTCTATTTGATTAGATGAGAACAAGCAAAAAGTCTCATTTTAGTATTTGAGGAAAATTAAATTCATGAGCAGGTTTGACGATGCGTGCTCTACCTACTTTTAGTAAGCAGAGATACCTACTCGATACTTACTTTTAGTAGCTGGAGCAACCCGAGAGCAGGAGGAGCGAAGTCTTGCTCTGAAAGAGTTCTCCTGCTACAAGTCGCTCAAGCAGAACCTTTTATGAGTTACTGTCAAATTGAGTGTTGTACTTTTTGCGATGTATACATCTTGCTGTTTAGTTATTGGCAACTAAAGACGAAAGGTGGAAACGCTACACCCGGAGGTCCATTATAAAGTTGTTGTTTTGGTATTTTTACAAAACACTGCAGTTGTGTTGCTGGAGGGCTGCGCTTCTCCTCTTCGACCTAAGTGCTTTTCGATGTTTAACCAGATTACACCACAAAAATGTCCGAGACCGATCAAATCATGTTCTCACACGATTCTCTCTCTCACTTGTCTCCATTTTGGATCACATTTGTTCCCCACTTTGGGATAAAATAGATCCATTCGTGGCCTCCGATCTTTTTTGTTTTTGTGGTTTTCCAATTTTAATTCCCTCTGCTCCCTGGGGACTATTTGCAAAGCGGTGAGTACACACACACAGCCCCTTTCTCTTTCTCTCACGCTCTTATCTGTCATCACTGCAGGGTCTACAGACTCCCGCCAGCTTTCTCATTACACTAATGTCAATTGTTAGGAAACAGTTTGACAAGAGAGAGTTAGTCATAAAATTAAGCAAATCAATTGTATGACTAAAGAAAATGTATTCTACAAATCTTACCCATATCAATTATTTAAGGACATTTTACCCTAAAACCACTTGGATGTAAAATCACTTCATCACATTCAAGAAAAGTTGTTTTATGTCTTTGATCAAGTCATCAAATATTCAGCGAAATCTCTTCTAATGTGAACCACTCCCTTTTTGAATGTGTTTTAAATCCACATCTAGGGACTCTCACACCGGCTGTTACAATAATTCTGCAAAGGAAACTTTATCTAAGTCTTTTTATGGCAGACAGCTGCCATAGGCAGCAATAGTCACTTCCTGTCACAACAATCCATCATTGTTTTGGCTATGACAACACTCCCTCTGTCATCCTATGGCTACTCATCCATCACTGAGACACACTGAAAGGTAAAAGCCCCCAAAAAAAATATTTTCAATGTCATAGTTCCAATGTCATTCTGAAAGTAAACAAGGAATGATGAAGATTACATTTAAAACTAATTAAAAGTACATTTATAGTGAGATTCATCCAAACGTTCATGGTTCCTTGATCTTTTTATTTTTTGTTTGACAGCATCTTTTAAACCATTAAGAATGTTGTCTCTTCCATAAGAACAAGACTGAGTCTATAGCCATTGGGCACAGCAGCTCCTTCAGCTAAATGCTAATGTCTACATGCTAACATGCAGGTACAAGCAGGTAACCATTTTAGTCTATTCAATTCAATTTATTTTTGTACAGCCCAAAATCATCTAGTGTTATTTCATTTTTAAACATCTTGGTTATCGCCAATGATATATCGCGAGACACCCCTAATGTGAACACAATATGTTTTTAGTGTTTGGGAAGAAAATCAGCAATTTTGATATATTGTATATATTTCATGAATAAAGGATCAAATAAATAATTCCCTGAACTGTTGAATCATTTAAAAAAAAAAAGCCTTTCAGTGTTGTGAGTGTGCTCACGAAGCCCATTCCCACATGAATCAGTGTATTCAGTCAATTATAAAGTTAAATATGTCAGCCTTTGCGTCTGACTCTTACTCTTACTGCTTGTAGTCTAAAACATATTGAACTTTGCACAGAAATATTCACAGGGTGAATGAAAACAATAGCCACAAGTGAATATCTGTAGTGGACTCTTAACTAAAGGACATTCCAGTGTTTAAAGAGTGGCTCAACCACTTACATTACTCATGTGCACTGACCAACCTTTCAACCTTAAACCGTTAAAAAGAAGACTCTAATGATAGCGGTGCTTAATGACGTATCCAGCTGGAGTGATGACCTGAGGTAATGAGACATTTAATGGCTAATAAATGTGCTCTGCTAACACAACTAAGAGGTGGTATTGATAAGGCCTTGAATAATTAGTATGTGGCTTGGCATGCACTGAGTGACATGTTTTTGTGTGATTTAATCTTGCTTACTATTCTAGCAAGCTAAGAAGACAGCAGATAAACAAAGTTAGCGACTAGCTGGGGAACATTTTGAAGCATTTAGCAGCTTAATAGCCAGATATTTCCCTCAGGAGAAGACCAAAAACATAGGTTAAAAAGACTGTATTTACAATTGTCAGGTGGCCATGTTAACAATTTGTAAATGTTTGATGCACTCCCCAAAGTGGCTAAAAATATCAACTAATGCAGGTTAACGTTTTATATGGTTTTAGTCAAAGCAAAGCAAAGGTAATGGTTTGATATGTTGTACTTTAAGGGCGAAGGAATGCATTACGTGTGTCTGTGTGTCCTTACTGTTTTCATGCCTACGATGGACTGCTCAACCTTGGAGACGTAGGTGACGTGATCTTCGTTGGAACGTAACTCCCTCAGTTGTATTCTTTCATAGATTCCCACCACCATGTCTCTCGGGATGTCTGCTCCATCGTCCACACCTAAGATGTGAAATAGGTTGTTTACACACAAAGTACACACATCACTTTTAATATACATATTGTGCTGACGCATGTTTGTTTTTGCCTCGTTATTTGACTTGAGAGTGTAACAAAATTCAATATTCAGAGCGAAGGAGAACTCTGTCTCTCCTCGTCTGTACTTCTTTGAAATTTTATCTTTCACTGTCTCCATTAAGTAATGACAGAAGGCAGTGTGAGAGGAGGTTAATTGGCAAGTGACAGGTTAACACACGGAGAAGATTTTCTGTCTGGAATACAGTGCAGTTCAAGGCCGTGGCATTTCGACGCAGGTATGAGCTGCATGTCATTAGGTTGAAAGGTTGCCCTCGAGATGCTCCCCATTATATCCGCACAGCTGTACCGTGCTGTGTGGTACATTGCGTTTCCAATGGGGCAGGATGTGTTTTGGAGAAAATGAAGCCGCCACAAGTGATGGCGGTGACAGTGAGGCACCCTGGGACACCGCTACACATTATGGAGTCGGAGGGAGTGGAGGAGATGTCCTGGGGGGGGTCAGATAAATAAGTGACTTTCTTTTTTTGCCGAATGCCTCTTTCCTTACACTCCTCACGACTTCACTGCTTTATGTCTCTTTGCATGGTGATTACGGTTGGTTGGTGGTCCAGACTGAAATATCTCAAATATTGAATGGATTGAGATGCCATTTTGACAGCCATGGTGCTCAGTAACTTTGGTTTCAAGTGGCGCCATCAACATGTCAAAAATTCCATTTGTCTAATAGTTTGATTTATGACTAAATAGCTGAAAAACTGGTGAACTGAATTTAGAGTAAATCTGAGACCACGCTCTCTATCCAGTAACTGAGACACTGCAATTTGCATTTTTCAATGAGCTGACATAAAGGATTAATTTATGGTAGAGGCTGGTTTGTTGTGGTATGTTGGCCCGTTGTGGAATAGCTTTGACACCGACTTTGTCTGTTTTAATTGAGATAATGAATGTTCTATGGTTCTTCATTACTATTGGTTTCTGGTGCATAATTGCATTTCACCTTAGTCAATTAGTTGATTGAGTTATTCTTCTGTCCGTGTGTATGAGAGACGTGATGGAGAAAAGAAAAAGAGGATAAAGAATCGGGGAGAATATAAACAAGGAAACACGGCTAAATAAACAAACCAAATGATATTCTGACGACCGAGACAAAACAAGATAAGAAAACACAGTAAACTGAGCAGAAGACAAATAGAGAGTCCAAGAGAGAGTGGCATATTATAATTTGCATAAGATGCCGAAATTGATTTCTCAACTTAATCTAATTGTGGGGAACAGTCTGGGTGAATCTATTAAAGTTGTTCTGCATCGACCTCAGCGTTCCCTGATTGATTGCACAGAGGGAGAGCGAGACTACGACGCTCCTGTCTCGTCCTCAACGGTCGGCGAATGAGCATCTGTCTGCGTAGGGGAGACAAGAATTACAGGTGCTTTCTGCCGGTGTCGCTATGAGTTGTGAATGCATGAAGCAAGGCCGGCAGGGATAGAAATATTACCTTATCTTTTTATTACCTGAATTTATGCAGGGAGGTTTGATTCAACACAGATCCAAACACTGTTGGACTCACTTTCACTGATTCATCTTGTTGAAGGATTATTGAGTATTACTGATTTTTGGGAAATAGTCACAAAATAATAATAATAATAATACTCAGAAAACCTCTGATGACACACAAGCACGTAAACACACCTAAAAACGATTCAACATTACATGAGCCGATTATGTCAACTCATTTCTGTCACTTTAACTCCCTTAATGAGCCTCTACAGACGAGCTTACATGCTGTGTCACTTACCCCGTAGGTTGCGTATGAAGTCCTCCAACATCATCTTGCGGTCGGGCTTGATGTTTGGACTGTACATGTCGGTGTTGAGCAGAATAATGGCAAAGGCCAGGATGAAGATGGTGTCTGGGTTGTGAAACTGCTGCACCACATCGGGGTTACACATGCAGTAGCGCTGACTGTTGGTGTAAAGGAAGTAGAGACAGAAAAAGAAAAGTACAGAGTAAAGAAAGTGGAGGGTGGAGGGATGAAGGCAGGTAGTAATATATGTGAGTCATGGCAGAGGACACAAACATGTAGACATGACAGAGAGAGATGAAATATATAAAGCACAGGAATAAGAGGACAGATAGGAAAGGATAAGATGTGAAAAAGACACATAATATGTTATCCTAAAACATTAAATGCATCCTTCAACACATTACATGCTGATGAATGCCTTGTCACGAGCTGAGCATCAGAGTGTCGCACAGAAATAAGAGTTACGGCTTCAATTTTGCTCGTGGCTTCATCTGAAGCTGTTTGCTGCCTTTCAGCAACAATGAACCCTCTGGATTGGATGGTTATATGGCTCGTGCACTATGCCTAGTAGGATGTCGACCCACACAACCTTCACCGATGCCATATTTAAACATCCTCCGACATTTATGGGCCTGCTTGCTGGATTTATGCGGGTTGTTACTGTGACGAAGAGAAGAAATACTAAGTTTTGAAATATTAACATCTTGATTTTGGTACTTCTGCAAAAGAACGCGACAGAGGCCATGCTCATTTTAATGTAGGTCCCCCAAAAAAAATAAAAATACACTCGTAAATATAAAAGGTTTAGAATGGAAATGCCTCTACGTTTTGTGGTTATGGGGACTGTGAATCTAACAGATTTGTAGACACCTACTTCTGGTGTGTGCTTCAGAAAGAAGTGCCCAGAGGAGAGAGAGAATGTGTTTCTCTGTGAAGGGCATGGACACTTCCTGGTTAGGGAATGAATAATACAATAGAACAACATCCACTGTGTGTGAGTAATCAGACTATACAGAGTAAGAGGAGAAGGTGTGTGTGTGTGTGTGTGTGTGGACCCTGTGGGCTCAGTGATGGCGTGTGTATTCTAATTGTTACTTTAATAAGTCATTATTTCCATTGGGGCTGTAGCACCTTTTTGCAGACCCACTGAGACGCATCATTGGAATCTAATATGGCTCTTGTTTTGGTATACGCACATTGTTATGGAAGCATTGATAACCAGTTTAACCATGACTTATTTGCTAGATAGTGATCTATATAAATGACGAAAATAACATTTATATTTCTGGTATATACTTTTTTTTTTTTTTTACTGAAGAGCCTCTGATTTAATTGTGTCCCCCCCACTTATAGCAGCAGCAGCTTTCACATGTACTTGTGGTGTCCAGTATGTTTTAGCCTGGTAATCATAGGGCTTCACACCGATGCTTATTCATATCTCAGTGTCTGAAACCCGTGACTCCACAGCAACCAGCAATTATGATCTTGTCTGGAAATCCTTATAGCACCGTGCAGTGAAAAGCCTCAATGTGTGCTGCTTTCTAAGTGTGCTGTTACTCTGCGCAGACAGACATTGACAAAATGACAAACCAAAAAACAACAACAAGGCGGTAAAACGACAAAAAATTGCTGCTCAGCGAGTGGATTTGGCTGTTGTCAAATTTGGCACATGCTGCCGTCTTCCAAACTAATTTAATTTTTTGTTACAGATCGCTAAAGATGGGGGTAATCCAACAGTCATTATGTACTCTGTGAGGATGGTGCAAGATTATACATGTCGCATGATCTTTATTTATAATAACCATAATAAAAAATAGAGCAAGTGTTTGTGACTGCAGGGTGAGTAAATAAGGATACTACACTGTAATGCAGACATGAAAATATAAACTGAATATATCTGCAGCGTTGGGAGCCGGCTCATGTTTGCTCATTTATTAGCACACTGACGCAGCAGATACTGAGGCTGCTGGCTGTTTTTCACTTTTCCCCTCTCTCTTCTCCACTGCTGCTTCAAATCCCCTTCACTTACTTCGGAGATTTCTCTCTTTCTCTGTGTGTGTGTGTGTGTGTGTGTGTGTGTGTGTGTGTTTGGAGGCATATCAAAGCCCAGGAGCATGAGAGGCAGGCACAGAGAGGCAGTGGCGGTTACGCAACGCTGGTTATTTATAAACCGTCCTCCCTCTCCTCTCTCCTTTTTCTCCCCTTCTTTCCTTCCTGTTCCCAGTTTGTGTCCCTTCACCCACATCACCCCACCCCTCCTCCTCTCTCTCTCTCTCTCACTCTCTCACTCCTGATATCACGCAGAGCCAGCCTGATGTCCAAACCTTACCTGTGCCAACCTCTCTGCCCACAGACAATGCTGGCGTTTTTTCTCCTCATTGGGCACCTCGACAGCAGTGACAGGTGGTTGTTACTCCAGAGGGGCCACGGCAAACAGTTAGCATTAACACACAGAGCCACAGCTGCACTGCCAATTGTCTCCCTGCCGCAAATCGTGGATAGAAATGACACGCTCCCTGGCTATAGATGGGGGCTGCATTGTCAACATTATACTGTCGCAGAAAGGGAAAAAAAAGTGTTTGTTGAGATGAGGCTGTGTGACTTGACTGCTGAGATCATACTTGTGTCACCAAGATTCATGCGTATTTATGTTCCCATGTTCAGTCTGTGATTTGTCCATTACTTCTGAGGGGCTTATGTGTGCATGTCCACGCGTCTCTTTTTGTGTGTATGGCTGTGGATTTGTTTCTGATTAAATCTAGTCATACTAGGTTGTTTTCATGTTCCCTCTTTGTGTATCTGTCAGGCATACAGCGCTCTTTGATGAAAAAGAGACTGAAGCCTGAGCTCACGTCTCACAAATCACAAATTCACATCTGTACCTCTCCTCGGCACGTCTTCAGAACTTGATGTAGGCATATTTCATGATCAAACAACCTGTGAATTGCATCTTAAAGCCCTGCAAGACGAGTTTGGCCAAGAGGTAACGCTTGAGTGTATCATTTCATTTTTTACATCCGCTCAAATATCAACACATTTACATAATAGTACAAAGTAAATGACACCAGTAGGACAAATCTATTTCCACCATTTTTTAACTGGATCAGGGAAAAGGTTTAAGGAACAAGGAACGGTTAGAGTTTAATACAAGAAAAACACACCCAAATTTAGATGTTGGAAATGGCCGCTTATGTGCAGAATACTGAGAGATGAACCCAGACTCTCACTGCAGCTACCGCTTTTATAATTACCTAAAGGCCTCGATAAGGCGTTCCACCTTCTGGGCTTCTCCCTGGACACGAATGTGGGCCTGAAACTTCCTCAGTGCTTCATCCAGCTCCATGCCTGAGAAGTCCATCTCATCCACCACACAACTGTTGAGCACAGAAAGGAATGGATGTAATATGGAGGCAGCGGTGGAAAGGAAGACACAGGGGGGAAAAAAGGAAAACATTAAAATTCAGAGCGATATATCGACATGATGGCAGAGGCTGCCCCTTCACTGGTGACATTGGTGGATGTGTGGATGTACACCTAAAGATAAAAGTCCACTCATCTGCCCCCCCCCCCAGTCACAGCACCACTCTGCTTACTGCAGCTGTTAGCCACGCACCAGGGATTAGACTGGACCCCGGCTATCTTCATCGTGCCACAGCACGCTTACAATCCTTCAGAGCGAAAATCCTCCCTATTACCTGACAGCCCCGGCTTAATGACTTTAATTAAAAAAGCAAAATATCCTGCCCAATGACCTCAGGTGGATAAATACAACATGGGCAATTTGGAGGTGAAATGAGGCTTTGAAGTGAAAGGTGACTTTAGGAACGAGTTGGAAGGTTTTAAAGTTTCCCTTGCTTTGATGTGAGGTGTTCTGCCGAGGTACAAAGTGGAATGATAATCAAACTATGAAATTAAAGTCTTTTTCCAACACCCTCATCGCCGGCTTTCATGCGGCACTCCAAACCTATCCACGCTAGCTCAGGATCATCTTTGCCTCGGTTATTATCAGCCCATTGATGGTTCAAAGAAAGATGATGCTGCTGATCTCAAAATTATTTTTCACAAAAATACAGAATGTAGTGATCATTTCTGTTTGTTGGACTACAGAAAACACACACACACACACACACACACACACACACCCACACACACACACATCACATTAAGATGGATTACTGTGAACAAAGCGAGTTAATGAGGTGGGTACTTGACTGTGACACATGCTGCTTCAGCAGAAAAGAGACAGATAGCTGAGTCTGCACACGACATGAGATCACTGCAAAACTTGCTAACAACAAAAATACCATGAAGTTTATACTATTTCATTTAGTAGTTTCACCAACACGAGTATTACAAGAACTACACCTAGCAGTCTTATATATTTCACTCCAGTCACCACTACTGCAACTACTACACTTCTGCCACCACTAGTACTATTACTGCTATTTGACCTACATAGGTCTACCGTTACCACCACAGCTACTATTCTTGCTACTACTTGTCTTATGTATGCAACTAATATTACCTGAGTCATTCACTTCCCCTTTAAATCAGTTTTCACAACCTTCCCCATTCAGACCACTTTATTTTTATTTTCTCCATCATTTCTTTCCTTCGAGTTCGAAGAACCGAAAAATCAGTGCTCACGAAGAGACTGCTTCTACACTCTGAGTCTCGACCGCCCCGGTACCCTCCCGCCTCCAGCTGAAACCAGTCAACATTGCTCTCCTCCATCCATTCCTCCCTCATCCTTCATCCCCTCATCCCTCAGCCCCCATCCTCTTTCCAGACCCTAAATCCAACCCTCCTACATCATCATCGTCATATTTCCATATGTAATACTATTTTAAATGCATATTTGGTGTTGACTTTGTTAGTTAATTAACTGCTATTCGTACAATATACTGGAAGCTGCCACTTCTAACACGTATACTAATACAACTGGCACTTTGATAATAAACTGTGTATTATTTTCCACTAGTAATTGGATTTAGAAAACCTAATCAGCCTAATGCTTTCGAAAGGTAAAGCTTATAGTACACACTGCCTCAGACTCGATCAACTCCCTTGACTGCCGAGCCTCTCTCATCGCCCTCTTCATGACTCACTTCCTCGCACCACCACCTCTCTCTCTCCCCTCTTCCCCGGCTGTCACTCCTTGTTTATGTAACGTCAGACGAGATGCTCTCTAGCCTAAGTACATCAGCCCTCTCCTTCCCCCTCCCACCTCCTTCTCATACACACTCAAACATAATAACACACACACGCACTTAGCTAACACCACAATGTGTGTATACACATACTGTTATCATCACGCATACACTTTCTGGATCTGTATACTGTACCTGGCGAGGGGATACACATCACATCTGTCTGCATAGCAGGGCTTAAAGTGTGTTTACAAAGCTCAATGGCAGGTACACACACATGCACACATAATGCAAATAAAAGGAAACAGCGGACCAGATGGAGCCATATTTTGAGCAGCAAATGAGCAGATGACAGTCTGATAACAGATTTTGTTTTTCCTGCTAAACAAGTACACTACATTATCGGTAAATGGCTCCTCGGGGGGGCCGCATTTCTTGGAACCCAAATCTATAACCACAATTTGGCTTAATTTACTTGAGACGTTTTAACTATTGTTGTTTATGCTCGGAGGAATGTGAAGAGGACGAGGCACAGCTCGATAGGGAGGAGGAGGAAGATTCAGGAATACAGGAGGCAACATGATGGAGACACACATGAATTCACACCCTCCCTACATACACACAAACAGAAGCCACATACTTTTACACACACACACACACACACACACACACACACACACACACACACACATTCAAGCTCAATAAATCAACATGAGAGATTTTTTCACATTAGACTGCAATCCCTCACCCGCTCTCCTGTGACAACACTTTATGGAAAGTGCTCTCACACACACTTTGTACTCTGCTATCAGGTTCCTCTTCAACGTCACTTCCACTGTATGACTGCACTGTAGGAAAATATATGTACATCTATATGTCCCAATGTCACCTGCGCTGAGGTACATCTCCGCTGTTTGAGGCATATCCTGTTAATCCAATGTATTTGGAGCCATGACGGCGTCCATTTAAAGTAATATGGATATTATATGAGGGCAGCCTGGGGTGAACAACTTGGCAGAGTGCTGTGCTGTGGGTATGTCTGCCCTTGCAATGACTAAAAGTGTGTTCTAGGTTTGATAACTTGGGACAAAAGAGAGGATAAAAGAAAGATCTGCGGTACGTCCTCCGGGTTGATATGCAAATTCCCGAGTAATTGCTGAATGAGAGAATGTAATAGAATAAAAAAAGACAATTACTGAGATGAAGTAAGGAAGTTCTTGAAAGATAAAAAAGAGAAAGAACTTCAAAGAAAAGAATGCCCATCAGGTTAATGACCTGGAATGACACTTACAGGGGGGTGTGAGTCATGTGTGCACGTGTGTGTTGCAGTGTCTTCACATGTATGTGATGAGTCATAAAATAAGGAGGCATCTCTAACCCCATTGCTTTAATGTGTATTTTCTTTCCCGTTTATTTTTGTTCTGCTGTAAAGAACACACTGTACTGCATGATAACTAATCATAAAGAGTATTACTCATGTGAAAAACTCATGTTTTTGTGGCTGTGGCGGAGATTTTTCGAGTCTGAGAAAATAAACTCGTTGTCCGAGCTTGACGGTTTAAGAAAAAAAATGTTATTAGTTGCATCATGGGGTTTAAGGATCCAGCTATTTTAAGTTTGCCCTATAGGGACTAAGAGTCAGGAAATCTTAATTATCCAAGGATATTTAAAAGGCAAGCTCTGGCCCTCAAGCTTGTAATTTGAGAACCCTGGTAAAACCAACTAATGAGGTGCATCATGGGAAGTGTAGGATTCAATGCTTTTGGAGCTTGCCCCATATACGAATTAAAAGTCTTTGGGCATCTGCTGTTTCAAGTTTTAATCTGTCTCATGTAAGTCTCCCACCTTTTTCAAGGTACAATGTGATATCACTGTTGTGCCCCATTAAAGGCACAGACTTTAAATCATTTGATCTTAACTGGTGGTTTTGATCAAATTTAAAGATGGCACTAGCCAACACCACGGGTAAAAATACCAGGAGCTTAATTTTCCTATGAAATCTTGTGAAATCTCAAAAACAATATATATTCTATCAGATATCAATGTGATAAAAGAAATTGAAAAACAAATAAGGGCAGGAAAGGTCTTTTCAGCTTGTTATCCTTCCTCCACAATTCCGTCTCACAAGTCAACCTAGATTTACAACTGGAAGCGATATGAGGACTTATTTGTTGGATGATGACACATTAATTTCAGCTTGCCTTCAGTTTGTTCACTAAGATGAAATATAATAATCCAATGTCAATGTCTGCAAAAATGACAGCTTTGACAAAAGTGGTTATAATTTAGGTTTTACGTTTAGGTTTTTAGGGAATCATCTGACCCCAAAATGGAGTTGGGCTCAGGTATCAACACGACTCCACCACCACTATACAGTATTGTGACTAGTAAAGCTGAGGATTTTCCTCGTGCTAAACTCTCTGCAGTTGACCCCTGACCCCTGATCTCCCAGTAAATGCAGGGATTAGAAAGGAGAATCCTCTTTTTATGAGGAGCGGTAAATGATCCTAAAACGTGCTCAAGAAATAATGTGTGCTACTCACTCCAGGACATCTCTGTTGAAGGGCTTCTTGCTGTTTCCGAGGAACTCTCCTATCATCTGTCGGCTCAAGCCCTTCCTCTGTAGCAGAAAGTGGGCAACGCCGATGGGAGTATCTGGGATGAAGCCTCGAGAGATCAGGAACTGAAGGCCCTTGTCCGGGTTTCTGAAACAAACAAACCAGAGTCAAGGAAAGGGACTGAATGAGCGGAAGGAGTCTGTCCTAAATATTGGTATTAGTAGTGTGACTGTGACAGATGACAAAGTAGATCCTTTATTTGTTTGTTATTTATTTATTCTAATGAATGCTGAAAGAACATTAAGGACATTTCATAATACATTCTTTTTTAAAAAGCTGCATTGGGGTAATAAGAGTCATGGTCGGAAAATGTCGGGTGCTTACTGTGCATACCTGCGCGGTATAGGTGAAGACTGCTAAAAGTGATAAAACACACTGGGCACAGCCTCATCTGTATTTATTCCCATGCTGAGTTGCAACATTCATTAACAACTGCTAAACAGCTTGACACTCTGCTAAAATCAGAGGACACTGCCAGAATCATAATGTCTGATCTGGGATGCAGCCTTAAATCCCTGCTCATATGCACACAGGCGTTCCCAGGTACACTGGAATGAAAAGGGTCTAAGATGTGTCAATGTCGGTGACTTTTATTTGGATTTTTCATTACTTTGATGATAAATGACCTCTGTCGGGCCACTCCAAGCTGATTTTAAAACCACACCAAAAAATTGATATCATCCATTGACTACCTGGAGAATTGAAAATCAACCTAAAAATGTAATATGGTTTTGAAAACAGTGAACAGTATCATCATAAGCAATAAAACACACTGTTTTGCTGCTTCAGCCTTACTTTTTTTCTGGTATGACCTGAGCTTTTGGAGTTAGTTAGTAATGTTTGCAAACTCTAAATAGATATTTTGTGTAACTGACATCAATAAGCCTAGCGCTACTCTTACGCTATATTTAAACCAGAAATTGTCCCTTGTGGCGACATTAGCTGCTGTTTGGCAAAAGGAAAGGCTCACTTTGAAGCAGGACAAGGTAACTTCTGAGTGAAGATATTCTAAAAGTTGTTTTTATTGGTTTTAAAAGGTTTTTTTCTCTTAATAATTTATGAAGGAGGGTTAGCTTAATGCACGCAGAAGCTGTTCACCTACATGCGCCTTGTGGGCAGACAAGGTTGTTTCTTCGACTACAGCCAAAACATGCAAAACCGTCGGCAGGATCATTTATATGCAGACATAAGCTAACACAGATTTGATGTGTGAGTAGTCTATGAGAGCATCTATTTGGCTGGACAACGAGGAGTGCTTCCATGCTCATGCCTTCCTAAAATTGCCGAAACATCTCATTGGTTTCCATGAATCACTGCTTTTGAAAGTCATCTCCTCTCCTATGATCCCATCAGTCGTCTTGCTGATAGTTTTCAGCTGACTGCATGGCAGAAGTTACGTATGAACAAGGGAGTTATATCGTAACTATTTATAACCCTATTAGACACAGAAGAGAATTGCTCCAGGGAGGCTACTGCATCAATGCCACAGCTCTCCCTCTCTCCAGTCTCCATACAGTGTTTAAACCACAGCCTTTACATAACAGAGCAGTGTGTGTGTGTGTGTACCACAGCTAATGGGTTTATAAGGCGAGGGCGGGACAGAGGGGAGAGGAGAGGGGATAAAGGGCAGGATAGACGGAGGAGGCTGGAGGAAAACCAGACAGAGCAGATGTGTGGGAATAGGAATGTGAGGACAGAGATGGGGGGGGGGGGGGGGGGGGGGGGGGGGG